CAAAAATGAACACATGGTAATTTAAATTAAAGAAAGAAACTTCTATAGTGCAACTTTTGAAGTTAAGCAAAACCAACCCCAGCGTTTCAGTACAGCAACACTATAAATTACATTTTGATCACTAATTTAACCCAAACACAAAAATAGAATGGGCGTTAAAATATAAATGTAGTTTTAATTTAGCTCTTTAAATACATGGTGTTTTGTTTTTACAGATAGTATCAGATTTATAAAGTAAAAGTGGGAAATACAAAAGAACATTTACCAAATCAGTAAACAGGTGAAAAGGCCAAGTAATTAAGCATGTCATATTTCACAACATGTTTTATATTCATGTTACACTGATATAATCTACAGATATTTAATACTTAAGTGTTCATCTGATAATTGAAATGTGCAACCTGAAATAAACGAAAATTGGCCAGACAAATTTTATGGGTGGTATTCAAAATTTCCCTTAATATGCATGCATTTAACCAGCAAATCCAACTACATTCTCACAGTGTCCCTAAGGTTAAGAAATACACTCATTGGCAAAATGGAGTTGATTAAGTCACAAATTGTTACTTCTTTTTTTATTTATTCATTATATTCCATAGACAATCTTTCTTTGATATGTGCAATTCAATTCCTAAAACCGGTGCAGCTTCCCATTCATAGTTTATACAATCTTTTATTCAAAGTAGACATATTCAGTAAGAATTTCATATATTTCAATAAATTTCTGCGATAAAATTAATTTTACTCAAAGATGAGCATAGTATACATACATGTATCTTTAAGTCAAAATCAAATTTTTATGTAAAATGAGCAAGATTTTAGTTAACTGATTCAGACTGTAATTTCAGCGGAGGAAAAGGAAACCCTGTTAATATCAATATTTACTGATATATATCACCAGCTGACCAGCAGATAACTATCTATACTGGTATGATATTTTGTTTTTTTCTCACATGTTTTAATACTTAATCTGATTATATGTAATAATATTACACAGTTATTACCTAATATTTATCTTTACAATCTCTTTGTACATCATGTATACACTTCCAGATGAAGCATAACAATTGATATCAATATTACCATAACCTTACTAATACATTTGACAGGAAAAATAGAAGCATAATTAACAATAATATAAATCGAGGCAAATACAGGGTTTTTTTCCAGGATTTTGGGAACATGACCCATACTCATGGAATTGGGAATTTCAGCGATGTTTTGTTAAAAATTGGGAAACCGTGCATGACTTAAATTTTACAGTGATTATATGAATGCAAAGAGTAACTGTCTAGGATAGTATCTTCAAACATTTAAGCACCATAACATTGAAGAAGTCCTTATTTTCAAAGATTTTAGAATTTGATATTCAACATTTTTATTTTGTAACTTTCTATTGGGAATTTTTTATTGTGGATTGGGAAAATAATATACTATTTTCAATGCTTGGGAATATGACCGAATATAGGCTATAAAATAAGCCCAAAAAAATCCCTGAAATATATAAATTGACAATACATGGGTCTCAGAAAACCTGAAAATCCTGGATTTAGTATTATTTCAATATTGGTTTTATACAGAAAAAAAGAGAGCTTTCAAGTGAAGAAAAAAAACATGAAATTTTAGGCAAATGCCTGAAAAATTACAAAATAATCTGGTTCTAGTGTGAAGGGCCTACAAAGTACAATGATGGAATGAACTTTCCTTAAAAACGTTTTGTTTTTTTTCCATTCCAAAATAAGAATCTCTATCACCTATGAGCAATAAAAACGAGAAATTGTCACAAGGGAGTAGACCAGTAATATACTTCACACTTTAGGGACAAACATAATACACGCCACTCGCCACTGGATACAATGTTCTGCCGCAGAAAAAAAACACTTATTGATTATATCTGGAAAGATTTTTCTATGAACTAATAAGTGTTCTCTGGCATCATATGATGATAGTTTAGGGGAGCAGTAATTATTTGTATTTTCTGGAATAGGTCTCCTAGAATATTCAATAATATTTCCCCATCATCATGAAGAAAACTATGCCGGGAACCAAGCCAAATATCAACACAATTTAGGAATAAACAGACAACTGAAAACATTCAATATGATATGTTTTAAGACAAAATCATTTCAAATTAGTAAATACATTAATAATCTGCCTTAAATTATTTTCATGAAAACAAACAGTGATAGGTTTAAATTGAGAGACTTTCTTATCTTCCCACTGAATTTGTTCTATTTTGATTGTAAATGATGTGATATAGTACAATAGAAAATTTTAATGATCACAGCCTTATTTCCCTCAGATCTAAATGATTTCTAGCTATAATGATACCTGGGAGTTTGAGAATATTGTGTGTTTTTGAATACTAATATGACATTATATGCTCTTGTAAATTTCAGTTGCAAATAAAAGTTGTGCTGATGAATATATTGTAATTTTTGTAAAATTTCATGGTTCACCTTTAATCAACTTTGGCCCTGGGGTTATTTCATAAATGTTATTATGAACATGTTTTGTCATTAAACAAAATGGCCAAAAGCTTTGTATCAAAGTTTAGCCAAAAGTATATAGGAAAAACATATAAAAATTCAACCACCAAGCAAAAATTATTGACAGAATAAGAAACTTGTGTAAGACAAGCAATTTTCAGAGTTGTGTGTCTGGAGAGACAATAACTATTTCCATGAATTGATATTCTCCATGCAAACATCACCAACCAAGTGAAATAAATCAATTCAAAAATTTGCATGTTTGCAGAATACTGAATTTCATTACAGAGCTAATGGAAATCTTTCAGAAGTCAAAATGTGCTGAAGAAAAAACAAAGCAATTTTACAAGAAGTCTCTAAAAAGTATTGCACATCATAAAATAATAACCATTACCTTAAACTTCAGATACAACTAGCAAACAATTTTAAATAATGCATTGGTTAAGCCTTAACTTACTGACTTCTAGAGTAAAGTAAGCTTACTGCAAAGTCGGCAGTAAATTTCAATGGACCAAAACTCCCTCGAATACTTAAATTTAATACATATTCACCATCATGCAACATTTAAGTTTAATTCAATGTTATCTCTTCTTTTATTCTTTTAAAGACTTACCATTAAAAAAAGTAAAGGAATTAATTATTGGAATAAAATAAAAAGTAAAGACAACAATAATTATTGAGAATTTTAGAATATTAATACAAACTTAACAGATGTTGCAAATAAAATATTTCTTTGAAATACATCATTATGTACCAAAATTTATATTTGTCAATAGATTTTCATTGGTTAAAATGTCACAAAATTCCTAAAAATTCTATGATTCAACATTTTTGTCAGTTCACATAGAAAAAAAGGACTTCTATAAATATCTTAAACTTTCTTTAGGACCATTAAAATAATTCGGTCTCACTAAAAAGCGTCCCGAAGAAATTTAGCGTCCCGAAGCGTCCTGAAGCGTCCCGAAGCATTATTGTTAATTTAAACAGTCAGAAGAATAGAAAAAATGATAAGTAAGATTAATTTTTTCTACCACAAATAATTCAATACATAATAATATACATTATTTACAATAAATATAACCCTTCTGACTGTTTAAATTAACAATAATGCTTCGGGACGCTTCATGACATTTCGGGACGCTAAATTCTTCGGGACGCTTTGTTAGCGCAACATGGGAAACGTCAGTTTTCGCACTGTAAAATAATATTTTGTGGATGAAATGTTTATTTCCTTTTTAATGTCACTTACACATATCATAAAAGAACTTAATTACGATCTATCTTTGCTTAGATAAAATTAAAACCATGAATACGTTTAGGGACGCTATGTTAGTCAGTAAGCGACTTGAACTATGCGTGGATAGATGTACGATTTCGGGCACTATAAAGATAATTTTATGTATGGAAAACATTTTTTCTCGCTATTGTTACTTATATTACTATTTCATTAACTAAAATTACGAAGTATTTCAAAATAATTTTGGTTTAGATAAACATTAAACCTTCCGGACGCTTTGTCGGTATACGGTGGTTTTTGAGCAAGTGAACTGGAGTCGAAGGTATGTTAGGTTTTTTTTTATATAAATAGAAAAAATGATAAGTAAGAATATTTTTTTCTACCATAAATACCTCAGTACATAATAATATAGCTCATTTACAATAAATATAACCCTTCTGGCTGTTTAAATTTACAATAATGCTTCGGGACGCTTCAGGACGCTTCGGGACGCTAAAATCCTTCGGGACGCTTTTTAGTGAGACCCAAATAATTATTGAACTTCAAGAAAATTTCTGAAGATGTTTAGAAAAAAAATATGTCTGAGTATTTTTTCACATTTCATTTCATATCTTAGTCATTGATTTACAATAATATTTGTAAACTTTCTTTGATTCTATTTCTTTTGGATTTAAGCCATTCAATTGTTGTTTGGCTCAAAATGAACAGACACATCATAATATGCTAGTCATAAAAAGAAGGATTCTGGATAGATACAAGAAGTTATCAAAAAATTTCGATTGGTTTAGAATATATTCTAAGTTATTTTTATATTCTCAAGTCAAAGGTTCACCTCGGAGTAGAAATAACATTTCTGTTTTGTAATAATTCTGAGACAATAACTTTGAGGTATTAAATTGAAAAAAATATTTCTGATGAAAAAATCAAAATAATAGACCTACAATTAATATGCCCCTATCTATAGGCTAAAATTGAAATGCAACACATTTATAAAATTAAACTATGAAATAAATTTATATATTAAACACATTCCGGTCTGAAAGTATGATATTTTTATAACATGTTTAAAATAATGTCTTTTGAAATTCTACATAGAATCAGAAATAATCTTGGAAACTTTCACACATGTATGGCATGTATTGACAAAATTTAAACTTGCTCGGTGTGAAAGGCATTTATTTAGCAGTTGAAACTTACTACAGATACGGGCAAAAAATAATTCAGTACACAGGGTACTCTGTCATTACAATTTTTCTCCTTATTTCAATGCATACCTTATCAACAAATATGAAACCATATCTTCTTGCAACATCTCTGGCATTATCTATTCCACCTTCAATCTCTGCTGCCCATTCATCTGTAAAGTGTTGGTTATTTTCAAGCGCATATGATTTACAAATGAAAACGCATACGAAAAATGCCGTGAATGAAAAAATATTTAAGTCCATGATAGCAGAAATTATGTCCAGTGTCAGTGACCACTGGTCAGTCGAATTCCTATGACAATCTATCTTAAAAGCTGCAATTCATTACCAATGTATATCACCGAAACAATGCAGTTAAGAAAATTCTCTCATATTAAAGTTAACCATATTCCATTGCAGTTGATGAAAGGAATTGCTAATAACAACACAGGATTTGCAAGCTTCTCTTTCAGCTGTCAGTTCATCACTGAACTTTCGGATTATTGACATAGATGGCGCTGTACAACGGAAACATAAAATAAGGGGGCATCTCAAAACATTTACTGCATATTAGGATTTTCCTTAAAAGCGAACAACTATATAATAAACGGAAAGTTTGAAAATAGGAATAATTTTCCATGGTATTGGGAACAACACTAAATCTCAGACTTTTTTCAATATCTTTATTAACTTGTGTGTATATTAACAGTCTTACCTAAAAAAAATTCAGTTTAAATATTTTTCGTTACAGTACACTACAAAATTTTTTTTATAGAATTTTTTGAAAGTCCTAAATGTAGGAACTAAACATGATTCTTTATGCTTGAACAATAGATAAAATTATCACATCCATTTTAAGAAAAAGTTAGCTGAACAATCAGCCTTAATCGTTTACTGTTAAACTTAATGATAATTCTTGAACATTTTAAGTGATTCCATGATGGGGCGGGGAGGCAAAATTAAAATTGATTTGTGCCATTCGTGTTTTCGCCCCGCGACCCCACCAAGCCGGAGCAAAAACACACTAATTAGCGACTAGCGAAGTTTAATAAATAAAACGGCGGGACGAAAACTAGCTAATTAGCGGGGGCGCGGGATGTTGTTTAATGAATAAACATCGCCAGGCGCCCACACATATTATAAGCGTTTTTTCATCCAGCAATCCCACCAAGCGAAAAAGTCCAGAATGAACAAGTTAAAATGGTGGGGGAGCGGAGCGAAAACATGCTAATTAGCGAGGGTGCGGGGAAGAAGTTTTATTTATTAAACTTTTATCAAATATACTTTGCGCCTGCCCCGGCTAATTAGCATGTTTTCGTCCAACCACCCTGTCATGCGAAAAGTCGATAATTAATTAAGTTAACTTGGCCAGGGCGCGGAGCAAAACTATGCTAAAAAGTGGGGGCGAAACACAAATGGCACAAATCAGTCACAAAAATGGTAATTCAAGAAATGACACAAAAAGTTTAATAGCATGGAGCATGTAAACAAAAATGGAGAAAAACAGAATCCCCATAAAAAACAAAAATGGAGAGAAATAGAATCCCTTAAGACAGCCCAACACGTCAAAGTTGAAAATGTTGCAGGCTCACTTTGACTGAGTGTGTTGATAAATGCAAGTTACCATCCACACCCCCTTAGGGCTCCCATGTTACAATTTTTTGTAAACGTTTACACGATTGCTTAGAACCGAAATGATACTGTTTAAACGGTGGTACTTCTATGTACTATACTACACCATGTATTCGAGTCACCAAAAGATGACTTTCTTTCTGTTTTAAATACAAGTACAAGTAAATAGTGATCAGGGCTCATTACGATTGAGTCGGCACATATTTATGTCATGAGCATCTATTGCACGGTAATAGTTGTAAACACCCATTTTCCATTTTTTACTTTGGAATAAACCAATTAGAAAAGATAAAATCCATTATAACAGGCAATGATTAAGATACTTTGTAAGACAATATGGTCATTTCGATTAAACGTGTAACCGTGGGGGCCTTACACCCCCTACAGACAATCTTTGAAACAGTCCGCAATTGCCAATATGCCGCGCTTTGAATATGGGAACCAACATATTACCCAATGGCTCTGACTTTACTGGTTCTCATCTTCAAAGCGCGATTTGAATACAGCAAAGCTGTGAGCGAATTGTGTATTTGTCGAAAGATTTTGTAAATGTAGTAAAACGGCGATAATCTTGATGTTGCATAGTTCATATTGATGTTGAAGTTTAAAAATTTTGACCATCATCTGGAGAATAATATTTTCTGTGTCTATGGACAAAAGAATTATAAAAGGATAATATGTAAGTATTGGGATCGGAATAAACTATATGGTGATTTTGATGGAAGGTGTGCAGATTTTATCCTCTGCATTATTATAAATTATGATTTTTTTGTCTTGTATTAAGTTTTTTGATATATATGATCAGTACATGTGCTTGGATTGACAAATATACATTTTATTTAGATTTTAAAAGCATTTTGAGCTCCACGCCCCAAGTGTCTGTGATGGTACAGTGTTTCCTGTTGTTGCCGAAGGCCAAGCTCAAAGGTGTTGAAGACTGATGGGTTGTGTCGGGGGATGCGTTCCTCGAGCGTTGATCTTATTTCTATATTTTAATATAATCACTGATTTATATGTAATATAAATCCGTGATATAATATTTACAAAAACCTCATTATATTATCAGACTTCAACTAATCGGACATGTTAAAAGAAACAACAAGATAATTATGGACGGGTGATGCGGAACGTATTTTTCTATTCATACTAAATCCAACAAACAGACATTTCCGCGATTAATGCAAAATGTAGTAGACATTTCGTGTCTGTTTCATTTCATAACATATGTAATTCTTTACGTTCTTGAGAAGACCCCTATACAAGGAAGTAAAGCTACAAATGACATGCGCGTTCATAGCCTTACCTGTCAGGTAACGTCTTTTGAGTGTTGAAAGTTCCTAAACTAATTTTGGAGTTATTTAACGAAGGATACTTATACAGTTAAGTAAGTAGTAACATCGAATCAAATGATTTTAATTCTTTTATTTGAAAATATTGTTCATTCAAACTAAATTGGAGATTTTATATTTGCCCAGGTGTGTTAATTTCAGGTATGGACAACAAAAGTTCTGTACTATCAGTTTATTTAAATGAATAACTATTGGGTCAAACTTTTTATGTCATTGTGTGTGAATATTTTAAATTGGTTAATCAATATTATCTATATACATTCTGGTGAATTGATGTAAGATGAACGGGGAAATAAAAGCAAGTAAGAAACTATATGAGCATAAACTTTATATACATGTATATTTACTTATTTACTGCATGGCCCAATCTTTCTTCTCGATTAAGGGTGGTTTCGGCGAACTACTTGTTCAGCAACCTTGGAACTTTATTTATGAAGAGGTTTTTTGATCTTACATTAAATACATCGTTCTTTGGGTGACATTTTTAATATGATACTATATTATATTGATTAGTATGTTACATGACTTATGTTGTGATAGCTTGATTGGTCAACGGATGATAAATGGGTTATCTTGAGTGATCTCAATTATCACTCAAAGACAGATATGGCATTAATCAGTGTGCAATCAAGCAGTGTTAAGACCTACTTTAATCACATTATAACACAATGTTATATTATATTGATAATATGATTGAAAAAAAAAGTTTCAAGTAAAATTCTTTTTTGAGTGTTTTGATTAAGTCATTTAAGTAAAGGACAATGTTTCATTATTTTTATAGTCCTATTTAAAAAAAGATTTATTTCTTGTAAAATGTATAGTTTAACCATTTTTCATATGATATTTCAGAAAATGATTATATAGATTACAGATTGAAGGCGCAGATTTATGCCCCCCCCCCTCCCTGCAAAATTTTCCAAGCACATCCTCAATTACTTAAATTTGAAAGATCAAGTGTTGCTTAAATTAAAATTTGATACCAGTTAATATTTTTTTCCCCAAATTTTTCTGCTTGCTTCACTAGCAAAAGTCAATTAACCTTTTTATTATGTGATAAGCCATAGACTTCCATAGATACACACTTGCATATACCATAGGCCAGTATATTCCATGTTAATTATTTTCGTAAACTTACTACCCAATATGAATCAGATAGGTCAGGAGGGAAGAAACCATCCCATACTTACCCAACTTGCAGCTACACTGCTTATGCACCAACACCCCCGATTTCTTTTGCAAACCCCAAATGAAAATCCTGGATTTCGTATGAGAGTGCTATACATTGTTTATAAAATCAGTGGAAAAGATCAGGGTTTTGAGGCTGAATCGTCAAGAAGGTGAAAATTCCTGAACTCATATACTTGATATTTATTATTTTATAGCAGTGGCCAGTCATCTTGGCCCTATGACAGATCTTATATCCTCTACTGAAACACCTTAAACCAGAGATATATGAAATTTGTGATTGAAAAATTCATTGTGAATGATCAAAGTTTTGATTGACTGGTTAATGTGACTTTACTTGCAGTTAAGTTACTGTATGATTTTATCTATAATTTACAAAGAAGAACAGCTTATATTGTTCAGAAAGGTATAAGATATTCAATAAATTGAAGAGTTTCATTCAAGTTTAACAATGAAGTTTTATGTGTTTGACTGTTTAAGAAATCAACTTAAGATAAGTTCTCAAATGGATATGTTACTCTAATATTTACAAAGCACTTGTTAAATGAACATCAATGCTATTTCAAGTATACAGGATTTTATTTGATCTATTTTTTCAAGAACTTTGTGAGATAAGTAATGAATGATGAGTTGTGTTAGGTAGCTTACTATCTTAACTTATCATAGACTCAATAATTTAGATATGTTTTGATCTATTCTGTTCAACTATCCTAACTTATGTTTTGTTCTGTTCTGTTCAACTATCCTAACTTATGTTTTGTTCTGTTCTGTTCAACTATCTTTACTTATATTTTGTTCTGTTCTGTTCAACTATCTTAACTTATGTTTTGTTCTGTTCTGTTCAACTATCTTAACTTGACAGTTAGTAGAAAATAAGTTAACTAACTTAGCAGTAAGTAAACAAATAGCTAACTAACTCGAAAGTTAGTGAACAATTAGCTAACTAATTTAGCAATTAATAAACAATTAGCTATAAACTAACTTGCTGTAAGTGAACAATTCACTAACAAACTTAACAGCTAGCTAACTAACTTGGCAATTTATGAGCAATTAACTAAAAACTTTTACAGTTCGATAGACAAAGTGTACAAGTGTAGTTTTTATATTAATTATCATGTAACTTATATTTTTATGACATCTAATATAATTATGTCATTTTAAATTGCAACCATGTGAATCAGCATATATTAGCCCCAGGTTCTTTGACTAATTGTTTCTGAACATTTACAAACACAAATAAAGAGAAGTTAGCAACAATACCAGGATATGGTTAAATATCCTTGTATTAATATCTACAGGCATTGGTCCATTTTGGACCTTCATCAACAAGACCCTTCTGTAGAAA